AGAAGGGGTTTGACAACCACGAAGGATTCAGCTTGGAACATTATTTTGAAATCAAGTCCCAAGCCTGAGCAGGACAAGGAGGGCACAGCAATGGCGCTGCTGGCAGAGCTTGCCTTGCCCAATCTAATAAAGGAGCTGTGGGGGACAGAAGGGACCTTTCCCCACTAAAGAGATGTTTCCCCACAAATTCCATCTTTACAAATAACATGTCTTTGGATTTCTGCAGGTATTAGTTCCTCAGATGTGCACGGAGCCGCCTTTGCTGCAACAGTCAGTCAGGTTACTAGGCAGTCTGGAGGAGAAGGAAAAAGCAAGGCTGTTGATTGTTGTTGTGGGGATGAGGGACAGTTTGCGTGAAACCGCCCTGTTGCACCGGTAAGGACAGCACAGCCATCATCTGTCTCGTCAACAAAACCTTCCAATCTTTGCACAAAGTGTCAACAGGGGTATTATTGGGAAAATGAGTATAAATCAATCACTAATGTGAAAAGTTGGTCCTTTCCAGGAAACTCTCATTGGGGCCTGCCTCGGGCCCCTCAAACAAAGGGGCACAGAATGGGCTCAGGGAGGGCTCGCACTCCAGGCCTACGCTGACTCAGCTGGGATTCCCCAGTTGCCTGTGAGCTCAAGGGGCTGCTCCAGCTGCAGCTGTCCTTGTAGGCCACCAACTGCAGGCCTGTGCACCTGGGGCTAAACAGGAGCATGCCCTGACAGCAGCGTGCCCTGGTTCTCACCATGCCGCCTGCCTGTGGCCGGCTATACCCACGATACAATCAGATGGCCGTGCTACAGAGGCGCTAACTGCTGTGTGCCTCGGGGCAGCAATGGAGCCCACTCACAAAAGCAAAGCAGGACAATCCAGCCCCTGCCAGCAGCTTGCCCAGCCTGAAGGTGTCTTAGTTACTTTTTACTCGTTGCTGGGACAAATACCCGACACTCAAAATGAAGGAAGGAAAGGTTTATTTAGCTCACAGTTATTGGAGGGTTCAGTCCATATTCTCCTGGCTCCAAGGCAAACAACAGCAGTTCATGCGGCAGATCGGAGCTCCTCCAAAGTGGTGCGACCGCGCAGACCAAGCTCCTCCAAAGTGAAGAGAGCGACTACTTCCTCAGCCCCTTTATATGGTCTGTTTGTGCTGAGTCACTCTAGGGGCAGAACCAATTGTGTCCCAGGGCGGGACCCCCACCAGCCGGAAGTGCACCGGGAAGTCATCCAGCCAAGTTGACACAATGTATCAACCACTACAGAAGGTAATAAAATAAAAGTTGCAGCCAAAGGCTGCAAAGAGGTCTCCAGACTTTGCCTGGCGTCAATGATGCAGACTGTACAGAGGGAAACAAGCCTACAATTCAATTACACAAAACATTAATCACTCCATTACTCAGCTGGTCATTTTTTTCCTTGACAAACATTAATAGAAATTATAAATAAGAAAAAGGAAAGAAAAAAGAAAGAAAGGGGAGAGAGAGAGAGAGAGAGAGAGAGAGAGAGAGAGAGAGAGAGAGACTCCAAGGGCTTTCGGTCTTCTGATATCTATTGGGCTCCACAGATTAAACAAAATCACCCCAAGATGAAATTGCCTATTGAAGGAAAGATATTAGATGGGTCTTTAGACATGTGTGTGGATGTTTTCCATTATTCCCCAGCACCACTGGCTTAAAGCATGGCTTCTAGGTGTGCCCAATACAGACCTATGGCGGGGGGGGGGTTCTCACCCTAGCAAATGCATTAGGTTGCTAACCTAAGAGGGTGAAAGCTAGGACAAGTTCTTTATGTTTGGGTCACCTTATCCAACAAAGACAAGAAAAGATGCTACAGTGAGCTACTGTTTATTATTGACACTTCCCAAGGAGCATTCATGTAGGAGCAGTAGTATTATCCTAACATAATGGCTTTGGCCAGTAGCTAAGTGGGAGAAGATTCCCTCTCACATCAACCTGATCCTGCAACTGGAGTCCAGCTTTTAGGTAGATACACATTTTATCCCTTGGAGTTTTTAGAGGTTATTAATCCAGCTGGCCAAAGTAACATAAATTACCTTTTTCAAGTACATTCCAAGAGTCTTGGTATGTCTGCTACTAGACATTGCACTGATATTTTTAAGAGGGATCCTAAAAATGCCTTGGTAATTGATTTCTTTAGAATTGTACAGAAAGTAAAAATTATAAGAGAGATTAGTTTGTGACAGGATTCAGAAATCATGGAAAGAGATGGCCAAAAAGCTCAGCAGATTAAAGCACCTGCAAGCAGGTGCAGGGGTGGGGGATTTGATCCCCGGGCCTGCTGTGCCAGCCCAGCCCCCGGGACACTCTAGGCCGGCAATTGAGACTGGGCGTGGTGGTGCGCGCCTATAATCCCAGTTCTTGGGAGGCTGTAAACAAGTGGATCACTACGAGTCCGATCTAATAGTGAGACCCTGAACACCCTGTAGACCCTTCCCTAAAAAATAAAAATTAAATTTATTTTTTTAAAAAAGGAAAGAAATCATGAAAAGCAGCTTCACTGTCCTGAACTCGCTGACAATATGGGACTGCAATCCTAGAAATCCCAAACCAGCTACCATGGTTAGTCACAAGAATATGGAACTAAATGCGTGTGGAAGTGACATAGAAGTGGATCGTAGAAGCTATAAGGTGACCATAAACAATTTTTTCACAAGTATTAACTGAAGGGATCCCACCTATTACTCCTAAGTTAAAATGTCTTCTGATGATGAAGCAATATTCTTATTTATATGACAAGACATGGTAAAAATGGTTCCTTAAAATTTCAAGATTCTAAAAAACTACCAACATGAAATTTGAAGATGCTTTTCAATAGATGTGGCAATTACACCAAACTGTTCAGATTAACCTTAAAAGATCCTTTTTTTTTTTTGGCGGAACCGGGGATTGAACTCAGGCCCTTGCGCTTCGCATATTCCACTGAGCCATCTCCCCGGCCCAAGATCCTCAGACTTTATTTGGTTATATTAATTGGCTCTGCCTCGCTTTGGGGCTAATTTCTCTGGTGTTATTGTCATTATCCTTCAGACAGGTTAAGACAATTTGTGGGGGCCTGCCCCTTAGCTCAGTTCTTTAAGTGGCTGCTTCAACGAAGCCGTCAGCCTCAGGTTGCCGTGGTTCAGTCCCTACAACTCAAGCCAGCCAAACCTGCCCTGAAGGCATTCAGAGAAAAAAAAAAAAAAAAAATCCTTCTGCCATTTGGGGCCAGGGAGATGGCTCAGTGGAATAAGCACCTCCCTGGCAATCGCAAGGGCCTGAGTTCAATCCCTACTTCCACAAAAAGAAAGAAAAAAGAAAAGGGGGGGGGGAAACCTGGCAGGCTTTGGCTTGTCCTCAGGTCTGAATATTTACAAATGCAGTGAGGTGGAGTTCAGTCCCTGTCAACTGTCCAACAAAGAACTCACATCCTTCCCTTTGTGGCAATGCACACGGAAATATTGGACAGGACTGAGCCGAGTTCCAGAGCAAAGCAAACTTCTCTATAGGAATGACTACATGGACTGTTATCTTTTGCTGCAAAAACTGACACATCTGTTTTGGGTTTGTTTGTTAATTTTTTTTTTAATGTGTGTGTGTGGCCAGCTCAGCCCACCAGGGGGCGGGGCTGGCTGGCATGTGGTGCTAGGGGATTGAACCGCGGTCCCTGTGTTTTGCTAAGCTTGTTCTAAGTAGGTGCTTTAGACCACTGAGCCATCTCACCAGCCCTTGGGTTTGTTTTTTAAATATGGGTTTTTTTTTTTTAGACCGAGTCTCACTAGGCTGACCTTGAACTCACTTTGTAGCCCAGGCTGACCTCAAACTCCAAAGTGATCCTCCTGCCTCAGCCTCCTGGTTGATGCACCACCATGCCTGGTTTGTTTTAGTTCTTCAGCAGTTTTGTCTTTCACCATCTCATTATTAAAGCCTGAGCTGAGAAGTCTTGTCCTTGGTGAATCCTTTGCTCGGAGGCTGTTTCCCTAGCACCTGTGTCTTCTGCTCCACACTTCTTAGGAAATCACCTTGCCTAGAGTGCCCCACTGACTCCAGAGCAGCTGGCTCAGGCCAGCGCACGGCCTGGATCCCCCCAGATGGCGGACCCAAGCAGGGAACGAGCCCCACGCGGCCGGCACTGGCTAGGCAGAGCTAGCGCCGCGCCACCCACTCCGCCATTGCTGCCTTCACCTCCTGCACCTCCCGCGCGTTTGCCACCGCGCCGGCCCGTGTGTCCACCCGGTGGGCCTTCGGCTCCGCCCCTCCCGCTCCTCGCCACCCGGGTTCCGCCCGCCCAAAGTTCCGGGCACTGAAAAAGGGCGAGGCAGAGCAGCGGGGATGGATCGGGGGCACTCTCCACTCCTAATCAAACTATTCCTGAATAAACTCCGGCCGACTGCTGTCTTGCTTGTTGTTGTTGTTGAGGGTTTTTTGTTGTTGTTTTGGCTTTTTTTTTTTTTGGTACCTGGGATTGAACTAAGTATGTGCTTCTTCTACTGAGCCATCTCCCCAGCCCCATGTTTTGGCTTTTTGACACAAGTTCTCGCTATGTAGTCCAGGTTGACCTTGAAGTCACTGTATACAGGCTGGCCTCAAACTCGTGGTGATCCTTCGGCCTCAGCCTCCCAAGTACTGGGATTACAGCTGTGCACCACCACGTCCAGCTGTTGTTTGTTTTGTGCTGTGATAAACTCTCGGTGTGTAATCCAGGCTGGCCTTGATCCCTGCGTCGATCCTGCCTCAGCCCAAGAGCTGGGATTACAGGTGTGCGCCACTACTATGGCTTTCTTTGTTGTTGGCTTTGCTTTGCTTTTAAAAATTACTATTGCATCTGTGCTCTAGACTCGGGCCTGTCCCGCACGCAAATGGTTTTTGATTCAGAGACTCCTCGCCGGCCGCCGTAGGTCCCAACAGTCCAAGGTGACAGAGTCGCATCGGCGCCGCCTCCTCCCGGCCGCCAGGGGGCAGCAGGCCGACCGGAAGTCCTCTTTAGGATCACCGCGGTGGCTGGAGCGACCCGGAAGCCGAGGCTGGAGAAGGGTGCTGTGCTTCCGGGTGGGACTGGGGTGACCCGGCCGCCGCGCGCATTTGCGGTGGAGCAGCCATGGGGGCCTACCTGGCCCGACGCTACCTTGGAGATGCCTCGGTGGAGCCCGACCCGCTGCAGATGCCCACTTTCCCTCCGGACTACGGCTTCCCTAACCGGAAGGAGCGCGGTGAGGCCCAATGCGCAGGCGCGGCCAGCGGGCTCCCGGAACCGCTCAGTTCGGGAGTCCTCTGGGCTGATCGCTGCAGTGTCCTCACCCGGGCTCGGAGGACACGCTCGACTTGCGAGTCTCCTGGGGACAAGAGAGAGGAGATCTGGGGCTGGCCGACCTAGGCTGTGTTCGGGGGTAGTGAAGAACCACGGGAGGGAGGGTTTATCACGGAAAGGGGCACGATCGCCGTGTCCTTGTTCAGATCCCACGATCGCGTTCAGTTGTGCTCAGAAGCTGGACGTAGTGGCACACGCCTGGAATCCCAGCACTCGGAGGGCCGAGGGAGGAGGATCGCCGCGAGTGCGGGACCAGTTTGGGCTACATAGGGAGACCCTGGCTCAGAACAGCGACAGGCACAACAAAACAGATATTTACAAGAAAACGCGGGCCTGGGACTCACGCCCAGCGTTCTGTAGTGGAGTAGTACTTTGCTTGCTTATGATTTAGTCTTTTTTTGTTGTGGTTGCTTTCTGGTACTGGAGATAAAACCCAGAGCCTCCCACATGTGAAGCAAGTGCACCACGAGTGAGTGAGCTATATGCGTAGCCCTCCTCGCTGAGTTCATACCACAGGCACTAGAAGCACCGACTCGAACCCCAAAGTGGACACCGTGGGAGAGACGGCAGGCACTGTCTCCTGGGAACTCAGCCCAGGGGAGACAGGCACCGGTGGATCTGAGGGACAGGGGTAGCCCTGGGGGTAAAGGCTGGCTCAGGAGAAAGGGACAGGGAAGAGCACGAGTAGGAACAACTTCTGAGCCTCTGATTTCTGACCAGCCCACCCCTTGTAAGCTCCTGCATCCCCTGCTCCTCCTTCCAGTGGTCCAACTAAGACCTTTCAGCGTCCGCCTCTACTGAGTCCTGTCCTGGTTGCCTCCCCCGAGACCCTGGGTGACCCCAGCCTGCCTGTTCTACCCCTGACCCTTCACCGTCCCTCTCTCATTTCTAGGCCAGTTAGGTTGCTACTACTTTTCCTTTCATCTTTTGCAGGATTGGGGATTGCTAAATTGTCTGGGCTGGACTTGAACTTGTGATCTTCCTGCCTTGGGCTCCCAAGTGTTGGGGTTACGGGAGCACACCACCATAACTGGTGTCCTTGCCCCCCTTTTACTCCCCATGCTTGGTACCAGGAATCAAACTCAGGACCTTGTGCTTGCCAGGCAAGCATTGTGCCCCTGAGCTATATCCCCAGCCCTCCAACTGCATCTTATGAAAAAACAAGCATTCAAAGAGCTCTTGGGCCTCCCTCCCCACCCCCACCCCCACAATACACCTTTTATACTCCTCTTTGCCTGTTACTCCAAAGATCCTCCCTGCCTGGCTGAGCCCCTCTTATACATGAACCCCTTCCTCCCTCCACCCCATCTTCTTGGACTCTAGGACTCGGCTGCAGCCTTTCTCCATCAACAACATGTCAAAAGTAGTGTCACATCCATCATCTTAAATTCTCCTAACCCATCTCCCCCCAGCTGTCCCTTGCCACCTTACTGGAAGAGCTCCTGTCACATGTACCAGTGACACCACCACTAAGCCCATGTCAGCCCTGTTCTTAGCCTGACTTTGACCACTGCCACCTTCTGCACACCCCTCCTCACCTGGCTGCCAGGACTCTTCTGTCCCTAGCGTATCCCCATCCCTTCCCCATCTCCTTTCAAGCTTCGAGTCTTGGGCCCTCTCTGCTGTATCTACTGCACCCTGTGTGCCACTGCTCCCATTTTATCTCCAGGAGGATTTGAACCTGAACTCTACACTCAAAAGACCTCAATTTTTATGTGAATGGGCATCTTGCATTAAGCAGATCCAAAACCGCTCTAGTCTCCCTAGGCTCCACCTTCTTGGGGTGGCCTGACACCTGTCCCCTCCCTCAAGGCCCAGAATGCTTTTCCCCCAGGTCCCTGTCCAACCGAAACCTCACTGCCCATGGTCCCCTTCCACTGTTTTTCCATTTTTTTCCTTTTCGGTGAGGAGTTGTTAGGAAAGGAACCCTGGGCCTCACATGGACTAGGCAAGTGCTCTGCACTGAGCTACACCCCCCTCCCCAATCTTTTATTTCTACAAACAGGGTCTGTCCCTAAGTTACCCAGACTGGCCTTGTGATCTGATCCTCCTGCCTCAGGGATATGTGGGACGGCATGTGCACCACTGTCTCCCAGAACTTTCAGTTAACACTGCTGTTTGCTGTGTGCCTCCCTTCAAGGGCAGGAGTACCTGTCATATTCCTGGTTGTATCCTTCCACTGAAGGCCTTGCTTATAACTTTGGGTTGGAGGGATGACTGAACCCCAGGCTCCCCCAATGGCTACAAATGGACGCAAATGTTCGATAGAGCCCCCAAACTGAGCTCAACACATTGGATGACAGTGGAAGCCATCACTAGTAAGAATGGCAGAGGTCTTGGGAAGCCCATGGTTAATACCTGGATTTGGATCCTGAAGCCTGGAGGAAACTTGGGGAGGGTTCCTTGTAGGAATAACCACAGGGAGATGCTAAGGTGTTTTATAACCTTGTGAGTAGTATCTGAGCAGGTATGTTTTGGTTTTTTTTTTTTATTTATTTTGTGTGTGTGTGTGTGTGTGTGTGTGTGTGTGTGTGTCCCACTCAGCCCACCAGGAGGCGGGGCTGGCTGGCATGTGGTGCTGGGGGATTGAACC